CCATACTTGGCCACTTTCGTCGTGGAGCGGAAGAATCGTCGGTCTCATGCGGACGCCCGGTGGAAGCAAATCTTAAATCTCTTCTTGATCGCGATGTGTGAAGGCTGGTGTGATCTGGATCTGCTGTTGGATCCATATTTCCTTCACTTCCCCAAGCGTACGGACGAGGTGGCTTGGTATCCCGGGATCGAGGCTCGCAGTGCTAACATCGCCGATCCCCAGCTGAATCGTCGTGAGCCTGCCGACCTGATCAAGGCCCTCGCTGAGTGCGACGCCGCGGATCCGTGGCGTATTCATTACCGACTGCACCATGCAGGTCACCCTGCTCGCCGGATCGCTAGTCTTGCCGGTAAATTCTTCAACATGGCGGCTCTGAACCCTAACGCGCCACCTCTCGCTCATCAGCCATGATCATGACATCTTTCCTTGTGCTCTCTTCCGATCATCTACGTTTGAGCGTAATACATGTCATTTCTTTTCGGATCTGTGTTCTCCGATATCCTTCATGTTTGTTATTCGCCCTTTGATCCATAATCTCTTACGTAATACAGTCTTAGATCCACAATCGACATTCAACCTTGCTCATTCCATCTCCATCTCAGAATCAATCTCGCTTCACTTCGACCCTCTGTTAACATATCATCATATACAAAATCACATCATCTCTGTCCTCCGATCTACAACCTCCTTGCAGATCCATCGACTTTCAGCCACACTAATGACCGACTCACCAGTGTCGCTCCCCCGCTCACGGCTCCTCGTGAGATTGCATCACGCCGAAACGGTTGCGATTAGGGCGAACTCGCAAGAACTCATGAAGAAGAGCACCGCAGTTGAGATCTGCCTCGTCTATCCAGGTCGGATCTTCATATCCACGCCAATGTACCAGGAATTCTCGGTAGGTCCGGCCATACCTCGTCCTCTTGCCAGTCCTCATATCGGAAATTCGTTCCACTTCGTATTCATCCGGATCCCGATCTTGGATCCAGCTATCTTCAGGTAGGAGGGCTTCGTCGAAGTCCACCCGATCTTCTTCTGATCCGTTCAGCCGAGCTACTGGTCGATCTGGGAATACCTTGACCAGTCTGATCTTCGACACATGCACCACCGGGGAAATGCTGTATGCGGATCCTGCTATCTCCAACCTCACAGGGTACTCTCCGATCTTCTCAGCAACGCGGAATGGGCCATGTCATAAGTGTGCCAGCTTTTTTGCATAACCTTCAGGACTCGATCTAGGTATAGCCAGACCTTTGATCCAGACTCTACAAGATGGGGTCGTGCTAGATCATTATGCGTATCGACCCGATCCGCGATCGCTTCGCGTAGGCGTTGGTTTACTTGTTCTCTTGCCTGCTGATAGTATTTTTGCATCTGATATCGCCACCTCCTTGGATCTCAATCATGCCTGCGAGTACTTCCCACAGGGATCACCGCTTCCAGGGTGGATATAGGATTCCAACCATGTATCATATAGAAAGGCGTTTCACCTCCGATCCGATCTCTTGCGGTGTTGATCGCGAAAGTGAGTCGTTCCGCATACTCGTCCCAATCTCGTTGATCCAGATCTTCCACGTACATCTTAAGAGCCCTGGTAGTTGTCTAGACCATACGTTCTGCAGATCCATTAGCTTGGGGTCGATACGCCATAGTAGCCCGTTGGCGCTGTCCCAGGATCTTGTTGAA